AAATGGAAAGAGCCCACAGAAAAGTCTGCCGTTTCATCTTTTCCACCTTTTTGTTGGCCAAACAAGTTTAACCTTTTTTGTACACACATTTTATCTGGTTACGGTAGCCGGCAAAATCTTACATAATATGAAACAAACTTTAAACTAGCCTAAAGAAGGAGTGACAAAAAGAGCAAACTGGTTGCATTTTTAATTAAAACTGCTCGCGCTTTTATTTTTGTGGGCGTTAAATGGGCGAACTCCGCTCGTTGACAGCCCTCATGACACTTGTCACAATATTTGCCACCAGGCTTAAGACTGCCTCACTGCTGAAATGTACGTCTGTCCGACTGTCTGATTTTATGTTGGCTGCGAATTAAAGTTGAGCCCGCGGGAGCCACCGACTGCCGCCAGATGGAAGATGGAAACAGCTTTATTAGCATTTTCCGCGGCACTTGCAATCAACGGGCAAACGAACGCCGAACCGCGCGATTCCAATTGAGTGTGATGGGCAACTTTTATTAAGGGGTTACATGGGTTTCACGGTTTCAAAAAATCGATTTTTTTTTTTTTGTCTTATTAAATTCTATAACATTTCTAGAATATTGTCCTAAATTTTCAAGTTGATCCGAGTAATAGTCCTTGAGATACAGCCTTGAGAAGGTGGACGCTTGAGACCACTTATATTGTCTCTTAAAACTTTAAACGCGTTTTTCTCAAAACTATGTTTTCAAAGTCGGTTGTCAAAATTTCTCGCAAACTACTCAACCGATCTTAATGAAATTTTACACAAGTATTCGAGATATCATTTACAAGGTATTGAACGAAGGATTTTTTTTTTTTTCAATTACAACTATTTAAAAAAAAACAAGAAAGGAAGCTAGCTTCGGCAAGCCGAAGCTTATATACCCTTGCAGTCATCAAATATGTCGAACAAAACGCATAAAGGCTAGACAACATCGAAGCTAAGACGATTTTTCTATTCATTTCCCATTTTTTTGACTATAGATCATATGGGAGCTATACGATATAGTTGTCCGATTTTGATCAAATTTAACTCGTAATTCAAGAGTCATAAGAACACTCTATATTCCAAAAATCATACTTTTCTGATGAAAAACAACGATGTTATCAATTTATTTCCATTAATTCTATATATAATTTTCGATCTCTCCTATGGCAGCTATATGATAGAGTTATCCGATTTTGATCAAATTTAATCCGAAATTCAATAACAGTTAGAAAACGCCATCTTGAAGAATTCAAGTCGATCTGATGAAAAACAACAGAGTGAGAATTTTTTATTTCATTCTCTTGTATTGGAGCTATCCGATATAGTCGGCCGATCCGGCTCGTTCCGACTTATATACTGCGTGCAACAACTACACAACTTTTGGGAAAGTTTCAGCTCGATAGCTTTAAAACTGAGAGACTAGTTTGCGCGGAAACGGACAGACGGACAGACGGACAGACGGACAGACGGACAGACGTACATACATATTTCGATTCTGCTCGTGATGCTGATCAAGAATATATATACTTTATGGGGTCTGAGGTGTCTCCTTCACTGCGTTGCAAACTTCTGACTGAAATTATAATACCCTTTTGCTCTGCAAGGGTATAAAAAATGTCGAGAAATTTTCATCGAAATTTGCATTTTTTTGTAAAAACGTCTGCCAAAAATCCAATTTTCATTTTTTTTTTCCTCCTTCCTCCGTCCAATACCTAGTTTATTGTCTATACTGAAACACGTTTTTTTTATTTTTATTTTGGATGATCCTGAAAGAAGTTCTGCTGACAACGCGGAGGCACCTTTTTTCCGAGGGACTGCCGGAAATGGCGTCGTAATGGCCGACATTTTGATATTTTTTTTTGAAAATTTCACAAAATCTTTATTAAATATGTATCTTTTAAATAATAAAAAGTTTCATTGAAATATTTCATTTTTTATATGCAAAAAAAATGTTTGAAAAAAGGCCGTTTTTTACCCGAGGAAACCCATGTAACCCCTTAATAACACCATGACATTTATGGCTATTTTATCGGAGAGGAGAAACAATCGTGGACGTCATTAGAGTTAAACTACCATATCATTGCGAAAGGTCAAAGTCGTAAACACAGTATAGACAGTTGTATCTGATGGATGTTAATGAATGCACGGCGAGAAAATCAGTTTGAGATGGCAGGTTATTGGGATTACGTGTATATCGATACTTATTTGTGGGTAAAATTTTAACTTGAGCCATTATCAAAATATTAATAATATAGCAAAAATCGTTTTGATGCTTCTCAGTTACCAGTTTTAATGCAGTTGCTTTCCTCGGAGTTCAAAACCCGACCAAATTTTTCGCTTTGTGTACTTTATTACACGTTTTGTTTTATAAATCCCCAACATAAAATCTTTAACTGCCTTTAGAAAACATAGAAAAAGACAAAGTTTCACATGCACGTGTTAATGAATCCGCTTACCAAGCAAAAATTATTTTAATGCTAAGGCCCTTTGGACCTCGCTAATGTTCGATTTCCAATTTATCCCCCTCCCCAATTTCCATCACTCCGCACCACAGATTTTTGATGCCAGCCAGAGGAAATGCTTCATCTATCTTTAGATCTAAAACCAATATTTGCATTATACGTGGCCGAATTTAAGTTCTCTGATATCCGGACACCGTAATTTTTTCGTGTGCCTCCCTAATTGCTGGTATTTTGTTGACCTTGTCCAAATTTATGATATTTTTTTGGGCTGGCTTTTGGCTTTGCTTGTTTATCTACAAGTTACACGCTGTTCTCCATGAATGATAACATGTGTTCGCTTTGCTGCTCTTGAGTAAGTTTTCCTTTTATTTGCTTTATTTTTGTCAGCATTTTTTCTTGCATCGAATGTTGTTTACCTGCACTTAAGTTTAAATTAATCTCTTGAAGTTCAGGTCATGTTTTTTGCTTTTATGAATATGCTATTCTCTAGTCGGTGATGCAATCAGTTTTGAAAACAACCTTACTCATTCCGAATAATAAAATAAATTCAAATTAGTTTTGTATACAATTTATAATCACAGAATCGCAACTAATAAATACAAATTCTAACTGCGTATGATTAATTATTTATGGCAATTAAGCGTTTCATTTTAACTCCCATTCAAATAACTAAAGCGGAACCTTCGCATTAAATTCACTCCATTAGTATTCTCAAAATAACTAAATTCTCCCATTACGGGTAAACCTTTCATGAATTTGCGTAATCCCCAAGCGGATTTTGAATGCCTACCAATGCAGTTTTCAACAAAACCAATGATACCTCCACACCTTGGATGCATATACACCATATATACGTATATATATTAGCATACCAGTTGACTCAAATTAACTCGCTTTGAGCTTAAGCTTGGGCGTTTTTCACACACTCACGCTCATCGGAATCGAAAGCCAAAATAAAGCACACACTCAAAGATACATTCACATCGCTCGGTTTGTTATTGCCGGCTCAGATGATAAATACATACAATACTATACTATGTATACTTCGCCTTGCGGCTTTGGCTTGTTAAAATAATAGACATCAGATCAAAATTAAAGAGATCTCGCGGGTAAAAACAAGTAACCAGCAACTACGTACATGTTATTCCCCGAATCGTGGCTAACCAGAAATGAAAATCTCTTATCTAATGCATTTTTATGGGCGTTCGTCATGTAAATAAAATACAACTAAAATAAAAAAGTCAAAAGATGATAATTTTAGAGACAAGCTTTGGCTGGGCTTTGTTAATTTGCGGCTGCCATTGTTTAACTGTTTTATTTTTTTTTCTGCTGCTGAGTTGCGGAAAAATTTGTAATTGAAAATGTTTTGCATGTTAACTGAACTGCGAAAAAAAATAACAAAACTGGGAAGAGCCGAACGAAACAAAAATGTTTGTATTTAAATGGAAATTTGTTCTGCCCTCTCGAGTTTGTGAACAATTTGTGGGCTTGCTTTTGAGCTCTGCCTCCCACTCAAAAGTCAAAGTTCAGTGGTATCAAATTCGCCTGTTTGTTTGTGTGACTTTGCTCTTAATTTGTATAATGCATGCACCTCGGGAACCCAAATTATCATTTCAACAACCGCAAGCGATTTGTGTCCACATGACGAGACAACACAAACGCTTTGAAATTAGTATGAGTGGCTTACTCAATACATATAGATATAATTTCGCACTCTAACTACCTATATTTGGATGGTGTCTAATACACACGACACTAAGTACTTCAACGCACTTTAGTTTTCTAGTCTGAATAGCAATTAATTAATTTTTATTAGCACTTAGTTAGTCCAAGAAATTACGCATCTAATTGAGCTTGCATGGGCTAGGTCAATTTTATTTATTTACTCACACCGACAAATGACGTCAAACTGGGATCGGGCAAATAATTGGCACCTTTTGAGAAAGTTCGGTAGTAAAAGGCAATAAGCACGCCTCATTTCTTATTTTCCACAACTAAGTTTTTATTTATTCGCCGCTCATATCTCATTGAATTTCAAAGTGAATCGAAATGCTTGATGAATTATTAAAGACCTGGCTGCAATCGTTATCTACGCAGCGCGCTGCCGAAGTCAAACGCCCCTGAACTCATTAAAGGGTGGGCAAGACAGGTGTGTAAATGGCCACTCAATTGCCTATCAAAAACCATTCCGAAAGTGGAGCACCCAAACAAACGCGAGAATTCCATCAAGGGAAACTGGTAATGATAAGGAGATTGATAACATACCAAACTTCTATGGGGCGATAAGAAAGTTTGCAGGAGATATGCTAAGGGCAAACAAAGTAATCAAAAATAAATAAATTAAAGAGCTTCTGATACTCAAATTATTATATTCGTATTAATATAGATTTAAAAACCTTTTCGAGGCTCCAAACTCTTTGCAAAAAACTTGAAAAAAATTTTAAAATCCCGCCTTCAAATATTTCCGAGGCTTCTTATCACACCCTTATCATTATCTTGCTATAACGTTTTCCGAAATAAATCAAATAGTATCTCCCATCACTTACCGACTGACGAGGGTCGACTGCAGACGCTTCGCGGGCGGCGAAGTGGGCGTGGTGGGGGAGGTGGGCGACTTGGGGGGCGGCGCCTTGCCCGCGCGAAGGCCACCACCCACTGACCCGGCGCCAACTGAGCCTTTATCCAGTGGCTGCCGCGTTGGCGGGGTTCCGTGTGGGGGCGGCGAGGGCGTGGCACTGGCCTTGAGCTGGTTGGGCGAGGAGGAGCTGCTGCTCGATCGCTTGGCCAGAATCATTTTGGGTGGCACTTTGGGCGTGGCCGAAGGCGAACGCCGGGCACTAGCACTCACACTCGGACTGCCGCGCGGACTGGAAACGGAAACGGATCCCGAACCGGAACCGGAACCGGCACCGGAAGCAGGACTCGAACCGGAAGCCGGCGTCATGATCCGTGTGCTGGACACCTTGGACTTCACATCGTTATAGTTTGTCTTGATCAGGGATTTGTTACTGGCGATCTTATTCATCACGGCATCCCATTTGTTGGGCGTGTGCGCCTTGCGGTTTAGTGGCGATTTTGGTGACTTTGGCGATTTCAAAACGCGCGATTTTGCGACGGCGGTTTTGGTGGTCGATTTGCACGATTTCGGCGAGGCGATCGACGAGTTCGAGGAAACGGAGCCGCGGAAATTCTCCACCGTGCAGAGCGACGACAGCGAAGCGTGTGGACGCGGCGAGCTGGTTTTCTGAACTGAGAGCGCCGTCGGAGATCGCGCGCTGCCGCCGTCGACGCTGCAGTACGAGGTGCGGTTGGAGAGCGACAGGGAGAGTGTCGTCGCCGCCGAGGAGGAAGAGAGACAGCTGCTGGGGGGCCGCTGCTGTGGGGCGAGCTGATTCTGCTGCTGCTGTTGCTGCTGTTGGGTGGGAGCGGGCTGACCTTGACCTAGGGAAGGGGAAGAAACCGAACCGTGTGCTATGGATTAACAAGCGTATAGAATGTCGCAGCCAATGAAAACGAATAATCAGTATTAATTATAAAAAAATTCTGGGATTTGATTTGTATTCTTTACATTATCATTGATCAATGTGTATATCGTGATGTCATATCTTAAATATCAAATAAAAAAAGTTTGGATTGGATTTTTAAGTACAATATTCAAGTTATTATCTGAATGTTAAGCTTTATCATTAACAATGTCATTGATCAATGTGAATAAAGAGATATCGTATCTTAAATATCAAGTAAAAAAAGTTTGGATTGGATTTTTAAGTATGTACAATATTTAAGTTATTATCTGAATATGAAGCTCTGTTTTATTATTGTAATCCAAATCTCACCTTTTCGCATGGTCTGCGAGGAGTCGTCCGGCGACATGTCCACATCGACGTCCACCTCCAACTCCGGCTGGCGCATCTCCTCGTCGCAGCGGTTCTCCACGTCGGTGAACACGCCCGAGGACTCCATGCAGGAGTCCTCCATCTGGGGCACCGAGGCGCTGGGCTGCATCATGTCCGGTCCGTACAGCTGGCCATCGATCACCTGGGCGCGTCGGTCGCCGCGATGCAGGACGTCGTCCGCGTCGGATTCGGTGAAGAAGTCGGAGTCGGTCATGGGATCCTGACGCCTCAAGGGTGCGGGATTCGGGGGCGGGAAACTGGGCTGCCGGCTGACCCTGCCCAAATGGGGTCCGTTGCTGGGGGAGTGATCGCAGGCTCCGCGGGAGGCCGGTCGCGACATCTCCCCGTCGCCCTGGTAACCCGTGTCCAAGCTGGTGACACTGGTCACGCTGGTGATGAAGCTGTTGCTCAGCTTCGAGTGCTGCGAGGTGTTGACCTGGTTCTGGGAAGCCTCCACCTGCTTCACGATCTCCGACTTGATTTCAATGGGATCCAGAGGCAGTTCCTCCGGCGAAGGAGTCTGCTCCATCCGCAGTTGCATCAGATTCGGATGGTGCATCCTAATCATCTCCAGGTTGTGCAGCAGATTGTTGTGCGGCGAGTCCAGGAAGTCCTTCATCTGATCTGGCGTGAGGATGCCCAGGCTCTCGTCCAGATCGAAGGAGCTCTGCTTCTTCAGCAGTTGCTGCTGCAGCTGCTGCAGTTGGGTGGAGGAGCTGAACGAGTTGTCCACCAGCTCGATGGAGCAATCCAGTGTGGTATCCGGCAGATCCAAGCCGAAACTGTAGCGGGTTCGCGCTCTTCCCGAAGTGGAAGTCAGGGTATTGTCCAGAGCCCCATTGCCATCCATGCTGATGTCGCCATCCGGCGTTCGAGTGGGCAAAACCAATGCACTTTGAGCTTGTTTCAGTAGGGGAGACAGCAGATGAACCGGCTGAGGAGTTGCCTGGCCCATCATCCGCATTCCATGAGGCGTCGTGGTGGCTGATTGGGGTGACAAGCACAGGAGTGAGTGCTGGGGAATGGATCTCCTGCCCGCTTGCAGGTGCAACCTACTGGGAGTTCCCCTCTCCAATTCCTGGGTCAAGTTCAACAATTGAATGTGCCGCGGCGACTGCAACCCACTGATGTCCAGCAACTTTTCGGTGTTGAGAGTGGAGTTCAGTGGCAGCTTCATGTTGGATTTATCCGGCGCCAAGCTGGTCAACGTCACGTCCAGCGTGTCGTCCGTTTCCTGGCCCAGTTTCTCGAGGTTAGCGGAACCCTTCGAGCTCAGGATGTCCAGTCCAGATGGCATGGAAATGTGCTCCAGCAGGGGCAACTGGTCCATGCTGAGAGTCAGATTGGCTCCTTGGTGGATCACCTTCGTGAAATCCCCGGGTTCATTGACGGATCTCGTGAGATTCGTTCCCCGAGTTGCCAAAGTCGTGCTAAGGTTGGATTTGGTGTCCATGACTTTCGTGGCATTCTGCTCAGCACTAATGATTTTTGTTGTATTTCGTCCACTTTCCATTATCCTAGATACAATTTCTGCTTTTTCCTCTATAGTTTTCGTGAGGTTCAATCCTCTCTTGAAGGTTTGGTTGCAATTTGCTGCCACCTCAAAGGTTTTACTTATACTAACTTCTCTATCGACCGAACGAGTGAGATTTCCATCTAAGGTTTTGGTGACATTGCCCACTCCCTCCACAACTTTTGTGAGGTTTCCGATTCCCGGAGAATTTGCGGAAATTGTTCTGGTGACATCCTTTGCCGGAATCACTGGCAGTGTTCTACCCATTATCCCCGATGAGTTCGCCGAGTGTGTTGTGTTGTTCTTGGAGGTGACCGTCATCTCGTGGGTGGTGTCCATCGAGCAGAAGGTCCTCAACATCGTTTTCGACGTACTCTGTGGGGGTCTCACAATCTGAGTGATGTCAGTCGAGGGAGAACCCTTCAAAATTCTTGTGGAATCCATAACCTTGGTTCCATTTAGGCCCGGTGAATCATGGTCCATGGTTCGTCCGAAAGTGGACAGCCGAGTGCTCTCCAGTTTCATGCGACCCGACTGCTCCTCATCCTCGCAGACGAAGGTCTCGGACCTCAGAAGTGGCATTGGAGTGCTGCTGGTCAGCTGATCGTTGGCGATCATTCCTCGCTTTCCCACGGGAAGTGGAGTCACGGGCAGTGAGCTCGTCATTTCATTTGATTCATTCTCCGAAATTCTCACCGAAGAAGTTGACGACTTGGGACTGAAGTACTTCTTCAGCACGGTGGTGGTCCTCTTGCTGAGCAGGCTGACCGCATTGTTGATCCGCTCCCCGCTGGCGCTCTTCTTCAGACTGCTGCCGAGATCCCGCAGAGCCACAGAGGATGGAGCATACGAGCTGACGGGACGCGGCTTCGCAGGATCGCTGGGCGCCCGAAAGATCTGCGTGGCCTTCGGAGCACTCGTCGGTGGTCGAATGTGCTGGGTGGTGAAGGTGGCGCTGCTGGTGGTTTTATTGGTGGTGCTGCTGCAACCGCTGCTGGCCAGGCCAAAACTACTTGGCTTCGGCAGCCGCGAGACGCCATCCAGTCGGGGAATGCGCGTTGTGGCCGGATCCTGCGAAGAAAAAGGGAAAACAGAGGCGTGTAATTAAGTAGAAGCTCTGAAAGGATGCTCTCTGCACACAAATTGCTCCAGATGGTGAGCTCTCAAGTCGCTGTTTTCCCTATACCAAGATTTTCGTTGACCTCGCGAAAGTACACCATAAAAAACCGCTTTTTATTAATATTATTAAACTGTTTACAACATGACAAATTTGTGCAAAACTATAGTGACACAATCCTAGTTGTGTAATTTAATATAATAAATATAGAAAACAAAAATAATTTCATATGCTCTTAATCCTGTTTTTTTATGTATTTTTCTAGTGTAGCTCCTCTTTTGATTTGGCGCCACCCAGATCCATTCAGGCATCCGCATCCTGCACGTGCCCAGACTTTTTGGCAGTGGCCAATGTGGTGCAAAGTAGTTCAGTGGGGCGTTTCCACTTGGCACCAGTTCAACGCACTTTAGAGCGCTTTCAGAAACAGGGTTAACTTCACCCCCAAAAGCACCCTTATCTTTTCGCCTTTTGCTGATGTCACCGAAACTTATGCTGCTCCGTTTTTCGGGGGAGATTTTACGATATCGTTTTCCACCCCCCGAAGCTAATTGCAGTTTAATCAAATCAGGAAAAAGGAGCAGCGACTTCGGAAAAAACTTTATGGCACCGCTGAACTGTTTATGGCCGAAAAGAGGGGTGAAAAGCGCAGCGGCGTCACAGCCTTAATGAATTTATAACGTTACGGGGGTCTTTATCATGCAGCCAGCTAATTATGCACGTACAAAAATGGAAAAATAAGGATGGCAGGGTAAAACTTTATAGACAAGTGAGGTTCTTACTAACGAGATTTCACATTTGGATTATAGGATTAACGTTAATGCGCAGTGTCATTGTTTTAAATTGAAGCCAAACAAAATTAATTAAATGCAGGAATGAATATGAAATAATTCACTTCAACTTGCAGACCGCTCTTAAAACTTGTTAAGATCGTAACATGCTTTGTTTTTAGGTGTTCTACGATTTTCTAAATTCTTAGTAAACAGATAAATGGTATACAAGTTTTTCAATTTACATACATTTTTTTTGTGTTCAGCAAAAAAATGTTCATAAGATCAAGCAAGGCTTCTGCGCTTCTTGGATCGGGTTTTCCCATTGGTTTTAATTATCTCAAGAGGATGACAGATGTTCAAGTCATTCGCTGGAGTGCACAAGGAAATAACATGGCTGCCACTCCGAACACTCCATCCATTAAGTGCTCACAGGAATACAAATGTATATCTCAAGCTGTACTTGTCAATAGCCAAGGATGCGTGAGGCGCAACTATAGCACCGAATCAGCTTCCACAGAGACGCCGAGTGTTAAATTGAGCAAAAGGCAGCTACTGAAGCGGGCATTCAAGGAATACGGAGCTACAATCGTTGCCTTTCATGTGGGCATTTCAGTGATTTCGCTTGGGGGCATCTACGCTCTCGTATCTACTGGGATAAACCTGGTTCCCGTTCTGGAATTCCTTGGCATAGGATCGTCGGCGATTGCAGAGAAAGTGGCCACAGGAAGCACCTTTGTTGTGGCCTACGCCGTTCACAAAGTCTTTGCTCCGGCCAGAATCAGTGTGACTCTGGGTGCCACCCCGCTTATTGTTCGCTATCTGAGATCCAAAGGTCTCCTAAAGCCAAAGGCTTAAAGCAGATAGCGCGAAGAGTTTATTATAATGTTTAATAAAAAAATAGTGCAAAATTTCATCTTTGAATTTAAGTTTTGTGGTTAGAGATTTTATAGAAAGCCATTACTAAACTGCTTGTGAACGCAATATAAATTGTCTTCATATCAACGACACCATCAGCTGGAAAAGTTGGTTTAATGTGCTAAATGCTTGCCAAACAATATCCGACCGCAAAGTTTGCCAACGTTTAGACTGACAAGGAAAAGTTTCTTCATCTTCATCTAGCGATCTGCTCTTTTTTCGGGGACTACGCTGACTGTGCTGCATGCCACACAATATGAAATGCACTCGATGGCAGTTTACACAGGCCGACTTAATCGAAAATGCAATTTCAACAGACAAGTTAAACAAGCGAGCACTGCTCCTCGAACTTTCGGCTGGATTTCGGGCGGAGAAATGTGGAAATAAAATCTACAATGTGGCTGCCTGCCACACCCTTCGCCATTCGGTGCCCTTGAACTTTTTCGCGTGAAAGTTTTCGCCATCCTGAAAGCAGAGAGCCCCGACCAAAATCCTGATTGTTATCAAGTGCAAAATGCACAAAAGTTTCCGACGAAAAAGGTGGAGGATCCGGACCCCACAAGCTGCTCCTTTTTCAGCTGGCTCCGCCATATGTGGCCATAATTATTCGAATATGGCACGTTAACCGGGGAGCGGAGCAGCTGCTTCTGGGAAATGAAATGTTTTCGATAACCGCGCGGGCAAATTTGCATAATGGCCTTTTGGCACTGCAATACGAGCCGTGTCCTTGGGGCGTGCGTGTGCAGGATAATGAGGCAAACATTCCCGATTAAAGGCTAAATTATGGGGTTTACTTAGCCAGCGATTCGGGTGAAAAAGAACAAAGCATCTGATTTAAAAAGGAATTATTACATTTAAAATGTAATAGCTTTTCCCGATTTCAATATGGATTGCAGTACCTTGTCCACAAGAAAAAATTGGGTAGCAAACGACTCGATGCACCAAATATTTGTCACAACAATATGTGTATGTTTACGCGCGAGGATATGGGAGCACTACAAAAAAAGGACTCGCCTCGGTTGAAACACAAATAAATACTGTCACAGCAAAGAGACAGAAGGCTACTGAATGCCTGAATGGCTGAATGCCGGTACAGAATTTCCGGGGAGTCCGGGGCATCGGGGGTGGATTGAACCTGCCACCACCACCAGCGAGCAGCAGCACCACAACCACCAGAAGCCACCGCACCACCAGCTGCATGTGGGTTAAGCGCAAACGCATGTCCTGTAGTCATGACAAGCCAGCGAAAGAGCGGAACCAAATAAAAATTTATCGATTTCCATGGCAGAATTATAACGTATAGCCATCTGGCCCCGCCCCTGTCCACCATAAACTTCATTTTTTTATCGATATTAATAGCGTCTAGCGTGGGGGGCAGATTTCCTATGAGCAGTGCATAAAATCCGCAGAATAGTGGGTTGTATAAAGCCCGGTTTGTGTGTTCAGCTTATGCATGAATAATTTGCATTGCCAACTTAGGGCCCCGTTTTGGCCAGCACCACCGCCACCGCCACCCTTCAATCAATAGCGATTGTCGAGGTTATGAAAAGGCAAGTAAAGAGCGCTAAGGAAGAGGGAAAAATAATGCTGAAATGGTTTAACATTGATTGAACAATTTACCCGATTCTCAATCGATTGGAAGGAAAGTGCTGCGAGTTGAATTGGTTGTGCTTTCGTTTGATATGCATATTAAATCAAGATGAGAGGGTAAATGTACGAATTGTTGGAAATGAGTAGTATTTGAATAACTAGTTCATATATAATATTTATTTATCCATGAAACTGAATTAAATATTTTTTTTTGTTGTTTTCCTTTATATTTCCTATGTATGTATCATACCATTCCATCCCTTTCCCTTTTAGATTACTACCCTAATGACTTTCATCCATCCGTCCCGATTCGAAAGGCTCAATCAACTGAGCTAGTCTGCTGAAAATACAAGTTACTGTCTCCCTGGATAGTTTACAACGCTACTAAAAACATTTTCACAAGCCATTAGCTCGTATCCATCAGGAACACTAAGCGGTTTATCTCTGGCAGGACAACAAAGTGCAAGGACTGCAGCAACAAGGACTCCGAGGAGGAGGAGAGTGGCAAACATTTGCAATTAGATGGGAAAGCCGGTCCAATATACTTTGCATACTTTGCCGAGCAATAAAAAAGAGGCAATCCCGCCGAGAAGAAACACTGCGCATCTGCAGGCGCTTTTTGTAGCATACTTTAATGCGCTGCGGCAGCCGGCTGTGTTACTGCGTCGATAAATCGCCGAAAATGTCTGCGAAATAACATTTTTAATATCTCCGGCAATGTGTGACACAGCCTGCGACTTGTTCTAGACCATCATCTGTTGTTTACGATTCCTTTGGACGACTGCCGCAGGCGTGCGTAAAATTAAATCATTTTTATAGACCTATTCTCGTCCTTCCGCTGTCAACCCGACAATTAATGCTCTTGCCAAGCCATATATATTTCACGCCAGACACGGCCCGACTGTATCCGGGGACTTGGATCAAATTTATGTGCATCTTGACTAGTTTTAAGTGGCAGCAGTTAAGGCGGCGCACATGCTGGGAGTCCGGAGAAAAGAAATTACCCTGATTTAAAGTTGCAAATCAGCAGAGTGAAACGGCAAATACAAAGCATACTGCCAGGCTTTGATTAAAAGCACTCGGGGGGAAAAACAAAGGTCACGACAAAGGAAACAGCTAAGATGAAAAGCCCGCAGGTTTATACTTTAATTCGTTTTGTTTAAGCACAACGTAAGGAGCGGGAAATGCCTCAAACGCTGTGTAGACGAGTTGCTTACGATTGTTGTACAGGAATTTTCATTCCGTGCTTGCTCAAGTGTTTACTACTTATTTTATGTTGTAATTAAGTTTTGAAGACATAAAGCTCTAATTAATGCGCCTCTGAGCAGAATCACATGTGGCTAAGCTGCTTAAAGTTTTGAGGACTCTCGAGACATTCTTCTAAGAGGATTTAAGCAGGATAATATTTAAAAGGAAATTGCAAGGAAGTTCATGTGGAGAAAATCTAAGGAACCGGAATAGCTTTTATTAAAGCTTGTAAAATTTACTGACCTCTTTCTAATTTCCCCTTTTTGGCAGAAATCTATAAATTCTATTCATATATTTATTTTCCACTACATTCAAATAGACAAGTTAACTTAACCTAAGCACAAACAACTGCAAAGCTTTCTTTACAACGTTTTCAACTCAAGAGGAGCAGCTGAAATTTTCTAAGAAATATGCTTCTACTTGGTATGTAACGAGCATTTGGGCATAATTTATTATCCTCCAGGGAACTCACACAGGCCAGAAGGAAGGACAATCCGAAGACGATGACATTTATCAAGTGTGCAACTCGAGCAAGACTTTCGGTATCTACGAACATCCTATGTATTTCTTCGTTTTCTCTGGCATTGCAACTTTCTGGAGCAACGCAAATTTAAAATGTAAATCGCCTGCTGCAAGACGAGTTGTTATGCCCCACGGCCTTTCTATGGTGCATCCATTCTGAATCGCTGGCCCCCACCATCTTCATCGGCGTTTCTTGCAACGTTCGTGCCTTCATTTTCGTCCCCAATCAATTTTGTAAATTGCATTTGCGATTGATTTGAAAGCATGTTGTTTCCTGCACCCACCCCTGCCTCCGACTTCCATGCATTCTGAATAAGATGAGAAATATTACCGGACTGTTGCCTCTGCCGTCGTTGGACAGGTGCAACACGGCGTATGCGCAATTTGTTGTGGTCAATGGATAGAGGGGTTGTGGTAGGTAAGGAAAATACTTCAGTTAATGGAATTGCGACCGTGTGAACCGAACAACACATCAATCAAGGTCAGATGCTCTCCGTAATGTGAGTTGCACTTGATGGCAATTTTATAAGTATTATAAAGCATTATTATTATTATAATATGCTGTTTTTAATAACATTGAGATTCTTTTAAATTACGGTTCATTTTAATTCACGTCTGTTTCTAGTTTAATTTAATTTCTCTTTGTCACTATTTTTAACCCAAATTCAGCTTTTCATTACCACAATTCAACGGACAGTCCATTAAAAGCGCATTATTGTATAATGCAAAATATTCAATTCGCCCTCAGGTATGAGAATTTCCCCATTCGACTAATTACACATCGAAAGCAAAAATGTGAAATTTCTGTGCAACTGAATATGGCATTTTCCGAAAGAATCGTTGACAATAATGAAGCCGATGAACATTTTGTGGTTATGTCCATTCTCATTGTTATTGCGTTAGTTATTCCACCATTGGTTGGGGTGCATTTAGGCCAGTCCGAATCTGTTTGCGTCATTGTTCAGTTTTAGTTCTCTGCGGTTGCCAGAAATTGTCGTAATGCATTTACGGACATCGCACACACATGTGGCTCGAGTGCGGTTTTGTCGCTGGAAATGTTGACAATGAACTGTAAACAAGATATCTGCCATCTCCTCCTGCTTTCTCCTTTCAGTTGCTTTAAATTCTTTGCCAAAAACCGTACTATATTTTTATTGGTCTACCATATTTTTCTGTATTATACTTTCACCAAATATGCTAGCCATTAGCTCCGTCAAATGTTTGTATTTTGTATTTGCCTCCATTTTGGTTTCACATCCAGCCCCTATAAATTACCCACGCTTGACAATATTAGCTCTCTTCTAACTCGTTACTCATACGCAGCGTGGTCACGTTGTTGCCTAAGCTCTGCGCTGCTGTATACGCTGCATTTCGGGCTTACGTTTTGTTATTTCTCACTGCACTCGTTAGCCTTGTCTGGTGCCAAAATAAAATGACAACGTTTTCCCTGCGCGCCAAACCAAAATCGTAAATCATTTTTGTTGTTTTTTTGGGCGTTGGCAAAGGTAAACAATGTCACATAAGAGCCCGCAGTTGTCTGTCAGCAGAGAAAAAGAGAAAGATATGAGGGAAATGTGCAGAATATGAGATATAGCTACTCAAGTTTCTGGTGCCCCGAACTTTGACAGTTACATGCGC